GTTTGTGGATGGATTTAAATATGAATATGGGCTCTATATCAGGCCAGATGTGTTCATTTCATCATAGCGCTCCTTATGGTGGAGTATTCGAATGTTGGATGTTATTTCATCGTCGACTATTTCATGTAATACTATATTGTATCGTGCGAGTTGTGAAACGACTTGATAATTCTCTTACGTGTTGAGGTTCCGCGTAACAATGGTGTTATGTGAGCATGATGGCTCTTGAGATTCAGATCATATATCGCACATCAGTTGTGCTTGAGTTTTATAGCGTATGGCGCTATCTGTCTCCCCAGAGATGGTATTATGCACTTACCGTGCTTGTGGCCGATATTCGGTATTTTGTAGTAATGAGCACTCTAGCTCGGTATGTATCTCCTTATATAGATTTTATGTGTGGATCGGGTGGCACGCCGCCACGGGTATGTTGTTTGGATCGGGTTGCACGCCACAACAGTGTGATGTTGAGTACAGTTCCCTATATTCTATTTTGTGTGTTTTGTTTCCCATTTTCTGAGGAAGGTTCATGACACCTTTTCGGTTGTCTAATTAGTTACGTGGGTTGAGTAGTCCCTTCCAGAGTTCGTTTTCCTTATGTATCATGTTTGAGTTTGTAGCTTATTGGCACATTGTGGCATCACATGAGACTTTTAGTCATGTTTGGGGTGGTTTATTGCCTGAGCAGCTCATACTGGGTGAGACGAGATTATTGGATCTGGGATCATTGCGAGTGGATAATATGAAGTATATTAAAGAGCAAATACCATTATTTGGTTCAGAATGAGGTAATGGTTCTTGTCAGGAGTATAAACTCAATGATTTGTTGACTCGGTAGTTGGTTATGAATTTCTACACATCTCTTCCGTCGTGGCGGTATTGCAAAGAGTTAGAACAGGATTTATAAATGTCATGGGGTGCATTGTGAGCATCAGATTCGGGAAATATCGGCTATTATGATCAGAGAGTGTTATTATGGTCTTATAAATGATGTAGTGCATTGTGTGAATTCAGCAAGGGTGTGTAGTCATGTTCTGGTACAGCGTGTGGTGATTGATACGGTATTCGTATGTTGGAAGCAGGCCTGGCAGAGAATTCCGAATGTTGGAACTGGGCTCTAAGGCTTATTTGCCTAAATGAAAGAGGATATCTTCAGATTTGATCGAGCTGATGTGCTCAACTGAATTGTGGTAGCACGGGTAGGTGCACGAGGTATAAACAGTAATTTCAGACTACTCCAGCACAGTCCTTAGCACGTTCGAGGACGAATGTATGTTTAAGTAGGAGAGAATGTAACGACCCGACCGGTTGTTTTGAGCTCTAGCGCATCGTTTGGCGGTTTAAGGCCAAGAGCAGCTTCACTTCAGGTATTATGGCTTGTACGCATGGTCGAAATTGTATTCCGGGAAGTTCGGAGTTGATTTGGAAAGAAAATACTCATTTCGAAAGCTTTATGTTCGAAGAATTGACTAAGATTAGATTTTTGAGTAAACGACCTCAGAATCGGGATTTGAAGGTTCCAGCATGTTCGTATGATGATTTTGGACTTGGGCGTATGTCCGGATCGGGTTTTTGATAACCCGGGAGCGTTTCGGCTCCTATTGTGGAAGTTGGCATTTTGGAAGAATTTCATAAATTTGGGTTGAAGTGCATTTCAGTGTTATCGATGTCCGTTTGGGATTCCGAGCCTGGGAATAGCTGCGTAGGGTGATTCTGGTATTGGGGGCGCATCACGAAGTGGATTCGGAGGTCCGTAGGACATTTTAGAGTCATTTGGCTAATGTTAGAAATTTGGAGATTTTTGAGAAGTTTGACCGGAAGTGGACTTTTTGATATCGGGGTCGGATTCTGATTGCGGGAGTTGGAGTAGGTCCGTAATGTCGAATATTACTTGTGTGCAAAATTTGAGGTCAATCGGACGTGATTTGATAGGTTCCGGCATCGAATGTAGAAGTTTGAAGTTCTAAAGTTCATTAAGTTCAAATCGGGGTGCGATTCATGGTTTTAGCGTTGTTTGATATGATTTGAGGCCTCGAGCAGGTTCGCATTATGTCTTGGTACTGGTTGGTGTTATTAGACGGGGTCTCAGGGGCCTCGGGTGGATTCCGGGTGGTAATCGGGTTGAAATTCGAAGTTGAAGAAGAATTAAGGGTGCTGTCTTCTAGTGTAACCGCACCTGTGAGGTTAGGACCGTAGGTGCGGAGCCGCAGAAGCAACCAAGAGGGCACAGAAGCATCTTAGGCTGGAGAAGACTGGGACCACAGATGCAGCCAAGTTTCGCAGAAGCGGGACCGCACCTGCGAGCGGGGAGCCGCAAAAGCGAAGTCGCAGAAGCAGATGGCGATCGCAGATGCGGGATTAAGGGTTCTGATGGAGGACTGCAAAATCGGTGTTTGGTCCGCACCTGTGGAACTGCAGAAGCGGTCAAGTGACCGCATGTGTGAATAATCGCTGGGCAGCATGAGTTATTTTAAAAACAGGATTTGGCCCATTTTCCTCCATTTTTCTCTTGGTTTGGGCGATTCTTGGAGGGTTTCAAGTGGGGGTTTTCATCATCAATGGAAAGGTTAGCTATCCCTACCTATTATGAGTTAAACACATTGATTATGTATAGATTTTAACATGGAAATTAGTGGGAATTTAGCGTTTGAAGAAAAACCTAGAAAATTGGTATTTTTGGATTTTGACCACGAAATTTGACATGGAATTGGAAATAAAATGTATATTTGAGTTCGTAATGTTATGGAATCTTTATCTTCGAAAAATTTCGGAATCCGGGCACGTGGGCCCGAGGGTGATTTTTATCGACTTTTCGATCGGGGTTAGAAATTGTTATAAATTGGATTATAATGAGTTGTTGAGCATATACTATTGGGTTTGCATAATTATTGGCTAGTTTTGGAGCGTTGTGCATCGATTTGAATCATCGGAAGGGCGTGGAATGCCGGTTATGGAACTTCGGAGCGAAGTAAGTCTCATTTGTAACCTTGTAAGAGGGAATTTACCCCATAGGTGAAATACATCAATACGTGCTCCTATTTGTGGGGGCTACGTACGCACGAGGTGACGAGAGTCCGTGCGTAGCTACTATTATGCTTAAGTTTGGGTAGTCTAGGACCCAAAAGCATGCTTTACTTGTAATGTTTGCAATCTTGTTGTCAATTTAAAATGCTTAAATCATATCGAACTTTGTAAATAAATTTCGAAAAGGCTAGACATCATATTCTTGACTTTAAAAAGAGAAATTGCCTTTTCCTTGTGTAATTACCCCTTGATGAATTCTTGATTGACTACTTGAATGTGTTTATCTTTTGTGGAACGGGCCGAACGCCTCGGTAGATTAAATAGATGCATCAATAGTTCGCGCCATTCGACCCTCTGGCAGTGCACAATTTAAATATTTGTTAGATCTCGCCGTACGACCTCGGCATGATTTGCGCATGCTTGTATTGCTTGCTATGAAGTTTATAAATAATGATATTGCCTCCCTGGTCTGAGGTAAATTGATAAATGATGAAATATGAATTTGGAAATCTCTTATATTAAAAGGATTGTTTACTTGCTTCATGATTTCCTTGAGTTTACTGCCGTTTTTAATGAATCCACGACTAATTATATTATTGGACCACTAGTAAGTGTCGAATTCGACCTCTCGTCACTACTTCTTCGAGATTAGACTGGATACTTACTGGGTATGTGTTGTTTTGGTACTCATACTACACTTGCTGTGCATTTTTGTTGCACATGCACATGTATGCCCAGCGGTCTCGTTGGGCGCAGCGGTATGGTTGATACCGAGACTTAGGTGAACTGCATCTCTCGAGATGACCCGTAGCCAGCAGAGTCTCTTTCAGAGTATTGTATTTTCTTTTCTGTCCAATTTGTATTCCGGACAATTATTGTATTGTATTTTATTTCCTAGAAATTGCTCATGCACTTGTGACACCGGGTTTTGGGATGTACAAGAGATTATTCAGTATTGAATTTGTTAAAAACACTATTATTCACTTTGTGAAGTTCACCATTTATTATTTGATCAAAGGAAATTATGATTTGAAAAAAATACTAAAATGAGCATTTAATTAACTTCTTGGTTGTTGCTTGCCTGACAGTGGTGTCCGGCGCCATCACGAACCTTAATGGATTTTGGGTCGTGACACGACCCATGTCCGGCTTTATTTTATTGAATCTACTGTTGCACATACTAATAGACCCATCGGGTCCTAAGACAAAATAATAGATCAATTTCTTTTCTTATTTACCCAATGGTGTCTACAAACTCTCTCCACCGACTAGAACCTAGGGTTTTCATCGATCCATTCTCTCAAGTACTGGTTAATTTTATTCGTTAACATGGTATCAGAGCAACGATTTCTTCAGTACTCGATGAGGTTGTTCATCCAATTGGTTTAGATTTCTCAATTTTGATGTTTTGTTTGGGTATTTTCGACAAGGGTTGTTTTGCAACTTTCCGACGAGATTTGAGTTTTTCCGGCGATAATGTTGAGGAAAGCTTCAGCTTTTTCTACTTTTTGTTGAAAAAGCCTTTACTCCTTCGAGTATTTTGAAGGAGATACAATATCATCTGTCCACTCCTTAGTCTATACCTAGTTGAGAAACACATCTTTCGTGTTGTAGTTTTTGTAGCATGTTTTGATTCTATTTGAAATTAATACTGTCGTTATTGTGTGAAATCGATTCTTGATTGTACTGTTCAGTGTGTTGGTTAAAGTTATGGGTACAGAATCGACCTCTTCTTCTGCTGCCCTTGAATCCTCCCCTATAATCATCGACCCCTCACATCCTCTCTATGTCCATCCATCAGACAACCCAGGTGTCTTGTTGGTATCTGTTCCTTTTTCAGAGACAAGATATTCATTATGGAGAAAAATTTATTGATTGCATTGTCTGCTAAGAATAAGGCTAGTAAGATTAATGGTAGAATTCTCCGGCCTTCACCTAGTTCTCCTCTCTATGACTACTAGGTTAGGTGTAATGATATGGTCTTTGCTTGGCTCAGCAATGCTCCGTCCAAAGACATTGTTGATAGTGCCTTACATTGTGGCACTGCTAGGGACCTATGGAGAGATACAGAGGAAAGATATGGGCAATCTAGTGTTAGTAGGTATTATCAGATTAAGAGGAAAAATACAGGGGTCTCTCAGGGCTCCTCCGATATTGCTAGCTATTATACCAATCTTAAGAAACTCTGGGATGAGCTTTTAGTCCAGCCTACACTTGTGGAGCTGAACCACAGTGCAGTGATGGTCAGAAACTCATCCATTTCCTCATAGGGTTGAATGACACTTATTCAAATGCTAGAAGCAACATCCTTATGACGTGTCCTGTGTCAACCCTAGGGAAGGCATATTCTATTCTTTTTCATGATGGGAGTCAAAGTGGAATTAAGTCTTCTGGTAGTCTTTTTGCATCAGAATCAGCTTCTTTCTCTGTGAAGTCCTCTCCTACCTCTGGTCAGTTCAACAATACCTCTGCTCAGTTCAACAATGGGCACAAACCTTATCCTCAGAAGGTCAACATTGATGCCAAGAGGGGAAATCTTGTGTGCGAACACTGTAAAAAGCATGGGCACTTTGTTGAGAAATGTTATAAACTACATGGGTTCCCAAGTGACTTCAAGTTCATCAAGGGAAGAAAATCTTCTGCTTGCACTCAGGTTGACCTTCCTGCTTCAGAATGTCAGAACTCTTCTGAGAATGTCAACCCCTTATAAACATTTTCTATACAATATTCAGCCTTTACCTTTTTCCTATCTTATTAAACTTCCTAATGGCTATAAAGTCAATGTTCCTTACACAGGTTCTTTACATCTCTGCAATGACTTGATTTTATCAGAAGTTCTTTTAGTCCCTTTTTTTTCCAGTTCAATGTAATCTATGTGCCTCAGCTAGTTGATCAGCTCAGTTGCACAACTTTCTTCACTAGAGTTTTCTGTCATTTATAGGGCCCTTCTCTGAGGAGGCCACTAGAAATTGGTAGAGCAGCAAATGAACTCTAGGTCATTGAATTACTTTACCTCAATCTAGTCCACCTGTAAATAACTTTTTCAATAAAGTCTCAACTTCTTTGTGTGATTACAGTACTTGCACATCTACTTGTAATCCTGATTTCTCTATTAACAAAGCTGATCTTTTCTGGCATCAAAGGTTATCTTACGTATACGTCTCTTCTTACACATTTCAATTAGACATATAAAGACAAATCCTAAGGGGTATTTCCCCCCACATAAAATTAGGCAAGAACTTACCTCAAACGGGCCAAACCAATACTCCAAGAACGCCTTTCCTTTGAAAATCACCTCCAACTGGCTCGAATCTAACCAAAAACAACTCAATAACGTCAAACAAAGTCATAGGAATTAATTCCAAAAAATAAAGCTTCAATTTTTATTCTATTTCCAAAAATTCAACAAAAGTCAACCCGACCCCACATGGTCAAAACCCGAGTCAAGTGTTAGATCCCGACTATCCATAACCCTACGAGTCCAAATATCTGATTAGATTCAAAACTCAAGTCCAAATCAAACTTCAAATCCTCAACTTTTAGTCTGTTAAACTGTAGGAAAAACCCTCAATTTTTTCTCTAATTCCATATTTTAGGTGTTTATAATCCATGTAGATTCTTGAAATAATATAAAAAATGAGTAGAAATCACTTACCCTAAAGTCTTGTATGAAAGTCTCCTTCTAAAATCACCCATTTTCAAGTCTAGGGTTCAAAATATGAGAGAATGGGCTAAGATTCCGAAATTAAAACTTAATATAGTCTGCCCAGCACTACCCTTCGCGATCGCAAAAGACCCCTCGCGACCGCGAAGGCCAAACACATCTGCTGCCTAAAAGTCTTCTATGCAAACGCGTAATGCACCTCGCGATGCAATGAACAGTTGCCCGGAATTACGCGAACGCAAGTCCTCTACCCCGATCGCGAAGACCAACCTCCACCCAACTTCCCGTCTGCCTCACTACTACGCAAACACAACATGTAAAGCGCGAACGCGAATGCCAACTCCCACAACCATCATTAACGCGGCCACCACCTCGCTAACGTGAAGAACAAAATATCTTGCCTCAAAATAACCGGCCGCGATCGCGAAGCACACCGGACACCAGCAAAAAATTTACAACCTCAAACAAGCTCCGGGTGGTCTGAAATCTACTCGAGCCACTCTGAACCTCGTCCAATCATACCAACAAGTCCATAAACACTACCCGAGCCTAGTCAAAGCCTCCAAATACATACAAGATCATCACATCAACGAATCAAAGATCAAATCAAAAGTTGGACTTTTCTTAAGTTCAAGAACTTCCAAAGTTCAAACCACGTGTCCGATTCAAGCCTGACCAATTTGGATTACGTCCAAACTTTGCATACAAGTCGCAAATGACAAAGCGAACCTATTTCAAGTTCCGAAACAACAATCTGAATATGATATCATCAAAGTCAACCTCTGGCCAAACTTATAAACTTTCCAAACCTTCAAACTTTCAATTTTCGGCAATTAGAGCCAAAACACCCTAGGAACCTCCAAATCCAAATCCGTACATACGCCCAAGTCCAAAATCACCATACAAACTTATTGGAATTTGAAACCATCAAATCACTAATTCGAAGTGGTTTACACAAAAGTCAAACCTTAGTGTAACTCTTACAACTTATTACTTAAGCTTCCAACCACATAACTAACTGTTCTAATTCACTTAAAGCTTCTAATTCACTCTAAAGCCTTCCTCAACCAAAGTAACTGCTCCTTCAAATCAACTCAAATTTTGATATTGTATATCTCTATGCTTCTGATAGGCAACTTTAATAACTCCAGAATCTGTGATAGTTGAGATAACCAAAAAAGATTAATAGAGTAAACTTCAAATCTTGAATTATTTCAGCACATTGATTGAGCATTTAAGCAATTTATTACTCCTAATCCTTGTATAGGATATAGCAGGTCAACCCCACATCTATCTCACGCCATTTGACTTCAGGTACCTAATTTCTTGTCGTATGTGCAAATTTGTGCTCTTGCTATTGATATGTACTGAATTTGTTTAGCTGAGTGCTGAATCTGAATTCTTTGTGTTCTTGAATTGCATTTTCATCGCCAACTGCACTAAAGTTTCAAGCTTTGTGTTGATTCCACTGTTGTTCCTTCTTATAATTTTGGTTTCTTTCTTCACATTTTCTCACTTTGATTGTTCTTTTCTGGGTTTAAGAATATATTAAAGCCCAAAAATAAGTTGGTTATTTCTAGCTCATATGTTCGTGCATTATCTCATCCAGTTAATGCCTTTCTTGGGAGGTATATGCATATTCTTTTAAAAATGAGTACTGGCCATATTATAGAATATAGCTCATTCAATTGTTATTATTATTGTCTTTTACAGTATTTTGATTTTTTTTTCTGGGGTTCTTAAAGAGGGGTTTATTCTTTGAATAAGTCACTCCTCTTTTCCTTTATGTTACTCCCTCTGTTTTGATTTATATGGCAAAATTTGATTTGATATGGAGTTTAAGGAAAAAAAACCATTTTTTTAAAAACATTTTAGTCTTAAACATGCCATAACATTTGTATGATTATGAAAGCTTATCATTAAGGGTAAAATGAGAAGTTCCAGTTAAATTGTGTCCAAATTCAGAAAGGTATTCTATTTGGAACGGACTAATACGGAAATCATTCTTTTTGGGACAAAGAGAATATTTATTTCTTTTCTCCACAATTTAAAGATATTAGATATTTGCTTCTTCAACTTCAAAGAACCTTACTTGTGTCTGATCTACTTAATACAGTGAGGAAAGAAGAGTACTAACAAGTACCACAGCAATTGTCAAAATGGAGATTGATCGGTCATGGATTCCATTGGTAGAGGAGTTCACTTTTGCAGCTAATTCGGCCCCGTTCAATAATTGTCATGCTTCTACTATTGTTGAGGTTGTGATAAATTTTAGTTCAGGTTCAGTCATTAGGTAGATTGACTTTTATTTTTTCATTGACTGATGGACTGAGATTGTGACTGATTTGGTTTTTATAAAGGTGAATAAAGATCATTTCTTGGTTGCTTATTTTGGTGGTACAGTAGAGGGAGCTCCTGATGTGAAAATTTGGGTACAAACTTTTAAGGTAATCACATTCTGTAACACTTAACTTGAGTTCTCTAGCTCCTTGGTGGTATGCCGTGTTTTCTTGCAAACCAATTTTTACTTGAGTTCTCTAGCTTTTTACTTGCAAACCAATATTTGAGCCGATGGTCTCCCGGAAAAGCCTCTCTACCCCTCTCTGGGGTAGGGGTAAGGTCTGCGTACACTCTACCCTCCCCAGACCCCACTGATGGGATTTTACTAGGTTGTTGTTGTTGTTGGTTTCAGTTATCGTTCATTAATATCAGCTAAAGTCGTTACGGAACCTACATTGACCTTCCTAAATATTTTTTCAAACTTATTGACATGTGAAGTCCTCAGATGATTTACCTTTTTAAACTGATTATGGGATGTTTCAATTGAGGAACAATTTGAGCAGGATGGCCATTGGAATGCTCCTGTTATTGCCGATGAGGAATTTAATGTCTCAATGTGGAATCCTGTACTGTTTAAGCTTCCTTCCAGTGAGATACTCTTATTCTATAAAATTGGGCAGGAGGTACAAAAGTAAGTATTCAGGCTTCCTTTTAATCTAGCGGCTAATTATATTATGCAGATCTGTAATCAGACTCTAGATATCCATAAGATGTTTGAGCTTTTAGTTTCAAAGCTAACATTTTATAGTCAGATAATTTTCCACTATTAAGTTTCATTAGATGATACAATGTGATATTGTTCACCAGAAAACATTGATAACACAGTAATTTACTATGAAGGGAGTACAGTTTATAGACATTTATAGGCATGTATCTGTTAAACATTTTCAGCGTCTCATTGGAAAACTATAATGACGTGTCTTGCTACTTACCTTCCATCAATACGTGAAACTTGAAGAACTAAGATAAGTTTTGTATTAGCATGAAATACTACAAGAGTGTTAAGAAACTGTTAATGCATAGGACATGAAGTTACAATCGAATTTCATAATAAACACAAATTTATTCACATACCCTGGCTCTGTTTTGTGCATAAAGTCAAAGGTGTTGCATTTCATATCAGAGCTGCCTTTTGTGCGTAAAGTCAAAGGTGTTGCATTACATATCAAAGCTGTGTTTTGTGCACAAAGTCAAAAGGAGTAATATTTTAAGCTTTTTGCATTTCCTTACAACCTGATTATAATCTTATTAACATAAAAGAGTTGAAAAAATGTAATTTTTTTTAATGCATTGACTTCTTGTTTTTATGCAATAACTGTAAGCTAGATTTTACTCTCATGTATATGATTCGTTGGTCATGCATAATATTGGAGTTACATCACAGTATATTGCTTAATTTAAAGTACTTACTATCTTTTCTACCTTGTTGAATGCGATAATGACTTACTACGTCCATGGGATTACGTCCAAACTTGCCTTTTACTAGGGACACCACTAATAAAACTCTTCAGCATCAATAGTTTATAACATCCTTAATTTCTTATTGTATATTTTTATTAAACAGTTATAGTGTGGCTCATTAGTATTTGCTATCATTTTTGTACTGCTCAAAAACGTGCACTAACATTCATGCCCTTAGTTACTTTTCTCATTTCATCCCTTAATGCACTAATATGTTGTTTTCTGAGGTAATGCCATATTATCAATTATATCAAGGTTCTCTAACTTTTAGAGTGTTATCGAGCTTGTTAAACGCTGAATAAAATCTGCAATTTCTCAAAAGTTGACCTTGTCATGTCACCATTCCAAAGGTTAAACAAAATTAGGAAAATTATATGACCTAGTCACCATTCTAAAAAAGTCAACCTAAATATTTGGCTAAATTTTTCTAAAACATTTTTTCAGCATTTCTAAATTCTAACTTAATTCCAAAATTAATTCATAATTCTATTAAAAAAAAATTAGTCAATGAGTTAATCAAAAGGCTGGCATGTTGTATAACCAACTGAAATTGAAATTATTGAACTTGTCCGCTATACTTTGTGCTCCCGATGCTTGCTGATGGTTTTTATACATTAGATGGAGTGGATGCTTGAAGCGATCTTATGATGGTGGTGTTACATGGACGGCAAGAGAACAGCTTCCTCCTGGTATATTGGGGCCAATAAAAAATAAGGCATGAATATGGCGAATTCAATACTCTTAAGTTGCATCCATATCGTTGATGTATCAACTCTAAGAATATTTGATAAGCTAAAAATAAGTTTTCACTTGTTTTGGTTAGCCAATCTTGCTGGAAAGCGGTTCCTTGCTTTGTGGATCATCTGCGGAGAGTTGGAACTCTTGGGGAGCATGGATGGAGGTAGTACTAAATAGTTGGCAAATGCTAAGTATCAATTCCTACTGTGTTCTAATGAAACTAAAGGGTGGCTTCTGTTTCTTTACTACAGATGACTGCCGATTCAGGTAGGACATGGAGGAAGTGCGGTCCAATATACATCGAGAATAACCCTCTTAGTGTGATTCAACCCGTCCCTTACCAGACTGCAAATGGGACATTGCGTGTTCTTCTAAGATCATTCACTGGCATTAATAAGATCTGCATGTCGGAGTCCCATGACAGTGGTTATACTTGGAGTTATGCAAAGCTTACTGAACTGCCGAATCCTAACTCAGGTAACTATTTAAGAAAATGCATTTCATCTTTAGGGTTTTTGAAAATGATGTACTATTGTTACATTTTGTTTCTTCATAGGTTTCCTTAGGTACGAGATTTTTAAAGGTGATCAAACTTACATGTTTTCAGAAACTGTAGGTTTGAACATTAGTAATATGACTTTCCAAAGGAATATGAGAAGCAAATATTCATTCCAACATAGTTAAGGCTTATGTGATTACTTGCTAAGCAGGGATTGATGGAACAAAGCTGAAAGATGGTCGTCTTTTGCTTGCGTACAATACAATTTCTAGGGGTGTGCTAAAGGTAGCACTCTCAGAAAATGATGGAGACTCTTGGCAGGATGTTGTTACACTTGAGGAGACTGTAGGAGAGTTCTCTTATCCAGCTGTTATCCAATCTAGTGATGGATTAGTTCACATAACTTATACATACAACAGAACACAAATCAAGGTAGCAACTTAATCTGGTGAATACCATAAATTTTGGTTAGGTTTTGTTGCTAATATATTTTGATAACTACTATCCACTTGTCACTTGTTTGCATGTGTGGAACTGTTTTTACTTGGTTATTCAGATTCCCCCTGATGCTTGACTACAGATGCATGACTCTTTGTTTTGTTTTAATCATTTGTTACTGCAGCATGTAGTCCTTCAACCCAAGTAATGAAGTACAGAAAGATGAGAAAACCTCTCAAGTGAAGAAGGTATGTAATCCATATTTGTGCCATGGGACTGCTGGAAGAATTTGATACACCACTTATTTAAGACTGATCTCACACCTATTTTGTGATTGTACTTCTAATTCTTGATTCATAATTCTCCTCGAATCAGTTCTTATGATGAGGATGAAGGGCAGCAATTGTACTTTTTTCACTTTTCTTTTCCATTTTTGATGCCTTTGTATTCCTGCAAGATTGACCAGGTCCTCGTGAGTTAAGGTTTTAAATATGTATCTGGTTTTCACTGTTGCGTTATCAGGAAGTACTTGAAATTTAAGAATTTATTTATGATAAGGAAGATGATCCTTTTATTAAGTTAGAAGTCAGTAACTCTTTATGGCGGAGGATGGTAAAATTAAGAGTGTGGTGCAACAGGTGAACGAGGGATCTTAAATTACTCGGTTTATTTTCAAATGTGCTTTTTAAAGCTATGTTACAACAGGGACAGGTATATAACTGATAGGGGTATGTGTAAGTATTGTCCGTGCAGTTTTATGCTATTTCTTTTGAGAAATCAGGATGAAATATCATAGCCGCGTCACTCCTACAGCAAATGAACGATCCACATGATATAGGTACCAGGCATTATTCTTTGTGCTTGCACCTGAATTTCCGTGGCAAAGGACTGTGTTGGTCATGCTCTCTTTGTGGAGGAACTAGCTTGTCCTTTTGACCTTGCCTTTCTGGTGCTGATTCGCTATGCCAAGCTTATGTGAGTGCTAGTGATATGCTTTGATCATTTACTCCTGGAATAGTGTAAAGATGTCTTATTGTTTACAACATTCTTTTTATAAGTGATTTGAGGCAAACTTTTTTCTTTTTCTTTTGGTAATAACTGTGATATGTTACCATTGACAACCAAATGATTATTACAAGCTAACCAGTATAGCGTATCATTGTTCCCATAATAGCAGCTGCTATCTCCTCCTTGAATTGCTTACACTTACCTCCTTTTGATCCACCTTATACTGGTTGCTGCCCCTGCTCTTACTATGCGGATCCCGGCCTAGTTTACCATGGTATTCCTCACCTCAGTGATCCAACTACATGCAGCAAAGAGATGATAATGTGTCTCCATAGTATCTGCATCACACAGACTACACTTGTCATCATCAATGGGAATGTGCAGTCTATGTCATCATCCCGGCCTAGTTTACCATGGTATCTTGGTATGCCAGCCACATGTCAGTCTTTGTTTAGGTAGCAAACTTATTGCTATAGGTGCTTGATGGTTTATGCCATAAGACATTATTTTAGGTGTTGTATATATAGAACAGATGTGGAAAGAGTTGAGAAAAGGAAAAGAGGAATAAAATGTAAAAAGCAAGTTAAAAAGAGGAAGGAGATATCATGGGGATGGTGCTCGATAATGTTTAGTGAAGACTGCTATCGGGTACTGGTGCTTAATTAGAATGAAGAAGGATGATTGCTGGTAGTTGTGATATTGATATGTGATGCTGCTAGGATTGGGGGACATGGGAAGCAACCTAAGGAAACAAAGATAATTGATATGAAAAAGAAAAACATGAGAGTGGGCAAGGTAATTAGAATATTCAGTGCTAACTCTGAAAATCTAGGACACAAATGAGAAATATCAGGTCTTAAGGTTTTTTCTAAAAAACTTGCTCCCTTGGTCCCAATTTATGTGGCGATGCTTCATTTGACGACGCGGAGTTTATGAAAGAAAGAAGGATTTTTGAAACTTGTCTAAAATATATCATAAATATTTCTGTGGCTATAAAATCAGGTTATTTAGGGTAAAATGAAAATTTTAAAGTAAATTTATCTATAAAATAGAAGTGTGACAATATTTTGGGATATAATAAAAAAGAAAATTGTGTCCACATAATATGGACAGAGGAGTACAACTCAGTTGTCTCCTTGACGCTTCAACAATCCTACTCAACAATCTTCTTCACTGACCATGTTACTCCATTTAAACTCATTTCATGACAATTACTCGATTTTCCCTTTCACTCCTTTGTTAAAAGAAGACAACAATCCTACTCAACTTTTGACATTAGCAAATTAGATAAACAAAGAAGATTAATCAAGTAAATTTGGATTAAAAGAGCAAAACCATCACTAAATGAGTAGTGAATTTGTATACCATATGGCACTCGGCCAGTGAGTTCCGAATACCAGATTGTTAAACCAAAACAAAAGAAAAAGTATTATCGTACTACAGAATTTATTTGTCTTGATACAATCTGAGGCTTATAATAGTTCTATAATTACTGAAGCCAAGAAAGAAGTGACTTTCTCATATATAAGGTCAGAATTTACATACATAACGTGGATCTGTATATTAGTATATATTTGCTAGCCTAGTGTATGCAACTGACTTGAGCCATACACCTATATTATTCGTATATGCCACGTAGATTTATACAATACTACGATCTCTCCAAATTACAGTTCAAAAGGTTCCTGCAAGCGAGCTAATTATTCGATTCTCACTATTGTAGGCACTTTACAAGTTTCTTGAATTATTACCTTCTTGTTTAAGTGTTTGGATTCTCTGATGTAGTCTTCTGTGGATTTTCCAAAGTCCATGTCCCAGAATAACAGCAGAGTATATACCATGTGTGATTATAGGTGCAAGAATATTGTTTGTCTCTTGCATTTGCAAGAACAGATAAGAAGATATAGTGACATAAAATTCATGTTGACACAACCTTTGATTTTCAGACTAGTACCAATAAATACAACGAAAATCTATGTTACCTGTATCCATTCAAACCCAAGGTAAAGCGCTAACATGCATGGCTTCTAGTAACGGAGAGTATATCTTCTTCATCTGTTGCCTCTCGTACCAAGCTGCAAAACATTTCAGGTAGATGATAATATTAACACACATGAAAAATATGAGTTGCATGTTTCAATTACTAACTATTCATGATATTGGATAGAGAGGCTGTATCCGTGAGTTCTACATGAATGAATATTATTTGCGACCTTTTAATTTAATTGCATAAACAAGACTTTAATTTGTTAGATAATCAGTATGGAAAACATATTCTACTCTATTAATCCCTATATCAAACTACTTTAAGTGAGGTTTTGTAGCTTGGCATGCGATGTATCAACTTCTCAACTTCCCTGGTTGCTGCTTAAAATCAGATGTCACGTAAAAAATTACTAACACGTTATGATACAAATATGTTATTTTAGCTATACAACCATTTGGTGAACTCAAAATAACACATTTGAGATAATTGTGGACTGAGTCACTCATGTCATTGTTTTGGGGTTAATAAGTGGACGATCATATAACTAAGTAGAAGTCGATACATGGTCCACAAGAATCAGTAATAATACTAGAGTTACCAAGTCTAGCCAAATTATTAAGCATACTAACCAAAATATAATTTGCAAAACTTGCTCCAAGCTAAGGCTACATGCGCATAGCGGGAGCTTAGTACACTGAACTGCCTTTTATTTTGCTCTGAGGCTATCTGCACTATTATTTGCTGAAGTAGTAAAAGGTGGCGGAGCTGGATGCTTTGAAGGTTAAATTCATTTGTCCACATAATGATCAAGTTACAGGAAATGTTCTTAGTTTCATTTTTATGTAACAGGAAACAGTAACAATTGTTACTACTATTTTTATTAGTTCAAATCCACATTATGATCAAGTTTCCAGTTATGTTGATTGTTGGTAGAGCCTATATTAAAATATCCTCGGAAACTACGAGTACTTTGTAGTAGAGGAATATGTGCTCTAGGGTTTCCTTATCCATTTTGCACACATTATTTATGTTAATCCCAGTGTGATTCAAGTTGTTTTTAATTGGAAAATGATAGCAAAGCCACATGAGGAATTTTATTTTGTTTGGAACTTTTTAAGTTTCCAGATCCATCTGAAACTTTTGAGATCATTTTCAGGAGGATTGATAAGATCATAAGCAGTACGAGTAGAGAAAAATCAATTGCTGCCCTCCACTGCAGGGTTAAAAGACAAATATGTATGACTTAATCATATTATTAATGCAACAAGGAAGTTAAAAAGATATGGGAGCTCAGTCCCAATCTCCATTGTCGATTAGGTCACTGGTTTTCAAATTATCTTCATTTTAATATCAAATGTGGTTGGATCAAAACAGAGAACTAAAAAAATTCTCTCCGTACATATATATAGATTGGAAAGGGAACTTGCTGATCAGAATCATCTAAAGAAGACAAAGAAAAGTCCATAATCCCCTGGTGCCTAACAAATGCTAGCAGTCAACAATCAGCAAAATGCTCCACAACTGAAAATCAATATGAACCTGCCAGACATGAGAATTGATAGAACAGAGAAATGGAGGGTTTTTGTCTAAAGTTTAATAAAGTGAATTTTCGAGTTTTGAGCATCGATTCGGAGTCGAATTTGATTGAAACTAGTATGGTTGGACTCGTAATTGAATAGGTTGTCGAATTTAGTAAGTTTCGTCGGGTTTTGAGGTGTGGGCCCGAGTTTGACTTTTTGGTTGACTTTGGGGCTTTCGAATAAAGATTCAACCTCTATTGATTAGGATTGTTTCTTTTGGCTTTATTCGTTGTTCTTGAGTTGCTTTTGGCTAGTTTTGAGCTGTTCGGAGGTCGGTACTCGCGGGATGACATTTCTAGAGTATTGTTTGGCTTGCTCGATATTGGATTCGGCTTGTTCAAGGTAAGTAACACTTCTAAACTTGGTGCTGAAGGTATGAATCCCTGAATATATGTGTTATATGTTTGGTGTTGAGGTGACGCACATGCTAGGTGACGGGTGTGTGGTCGTGCACCGTGTGGATTGTGAATCGATTAATTCTGTGGTACTATGTAGTTACGTAATCTTGTCTTTATCCATGAGATTTCTACGTGATAGAGTAATTGAGTTGTGATCCATGTTAGAAACCATGTTTAGGCTATATGCTTATTCTGTTGAGACCTGCTGAGGTCATTTATGTTGTTGAGTTATTTACTTAAAATTTACAATTACATACTGAGTCATAGTCATTCATTTGCATATCATATCTTAGTCTCTGTTATCATTTGGTGTCACAGCGTGTTATCATTGTTTGGGTTGATTGGCATGAGATTTGTGAGCTCGAGAGACTGGAGAGATTGATGACTGAGTTGGGGCCTGATAGCCGGATTGTGAGTGATATTGATAGGATCAGGTTGCACGTCGCAACAGGTTTATTTGATTCATGATGGGATCGGGCTGCACGCTGCAGCAGGCCATATTGGCTTTATATATATTATTATATGGATCGGGCTGCACGTCGCAGTAGGCCTTATGCGCTTTATATATATTATTGATGGGATCGGGCTGTATGCCGCGGCGAGCC